GGACACTTCCTTGTCTGAGGCAGGAAACATAGCCTTATATGGTGTTTTTGGGGTGGTAATTATGCTACTCTCCTCTCGCATGAACAAACAGCATGATACGAACAGGTGGAATTTACGCAGCTCATTTACACACTTTTCCTGAAGATAGAAGAGTTTGTTGAATCTGACGTGGCATGTTCGTACGAACCCTTCGTACGAACAAAAGTAATAGAAATTTAGGATAAGAATACGAACATGTTCTTGCATGAGGCCCATTGTCTTGCTGAAGGTAGAGATCTGCCTGCTGGGTTCTGTTGGTGGTTGGATCATTCTGTCACGATTTGTTGTGTGGAACCCTAAATGCAGGCAGACACGAGTACTTGAATGAAAAACAAAACTGATTTAATGAATGACAAAAGAAAAAGGCTGACGTGGCAGCAAAAATACAAAAGATAACATGGACAGAGACGAGGCATGAAAGACAATGATCCAACAGGGTGATGAAGACATGACACCGGTTAAATACAACTGAGGATGATTGGGAGTGGAAACACCTTGGTGATTACAGACTATGGACAGGTGAGAGTGGCAGGCTGGAAAAACACTAAGAAGCTACTGAGGATAACGTCATACAGGAAATGGAGAAAACTAACAGGAAATAAGAAAATAAGACAAGATGACCAAACAATTAAAGAGAAAAATTCTAACAACAACCATGGAACAATAATCATGACCAAGACATTTTTTTGTCTTGGTTAATATCAAGTTGTCATAACAATGACATTTTAAACAATGTCAACTTTGCCTTAAAAATGTCATAATTTACAGAATGACACTTAATGACAACAGTCATAAACATTCATGAGGACTCATCTAAGTTCATGAAAGGTGTTATGTCATATTTATGACAGTGGATGCACACCCCTTCAAATAAAGTGTTACCAAAACATGATACTAATTTTCAGTCATACCACCCAGCACTGCCCTCTATCAAACTACAGTGGAATGAACGGGTCTGGAAGCTGGAGGGGGGCGGGGTGTGAAGTGTCTCATTTGGATTTAAAGAGACAGCCTCAAAATGAGTTGATATGAGACATGGCTCAGAAAAGGGGTGAAAGAGGGTCTTGTGGAGTTATAAGCAAGACTGAAGACTTTCCTTTTTGATAAATCCTATAATTAGACTTAGGTTTCCTGAATTATTCCTCATTTCTGCTGCTATAGACTTAAGACTGCTGGAGCACAAACTGAGCACATTTCCTCACTCTGCTGTTGTCTTTAGTCTCTCTTCTCTACATGTTTATTGTAATTATTTCTATCAATAACATGATTTTTTTTTCTTTTTGTCTCTTTTCCAGAAGTAGGTGCACCTGGACYAGTTCTTCTGTGTTTGTCTGTGTCTCTTTCCTGTCCCCCAACCCAGCCGGTCGAGGCAGGTGGCAGCCTGTCCTGAGCCTGGTTCTGCTGGAGTTTCTTCCTGTTAATGGGGAGTTTTTCCTCTCCACTGTTTACTCAGGATGGGAGACTGTGATGAAGTGATTCAACACAATCTGCTGGCTTCTTCTTTAGATTGTTCTTTTTTTCATGTACAGTGCCCTGAGACAACGTATGTTGTGACTTGGCGCTACATAAATAAACTGAATTGAACTGAATAGAATTCAGACCACAGTTCAACTACACTCAACGCACTCAACTTTTGTTCAGAATCAGCTTCTTATCACTGGTAATGACGCAGCTTTCTCATTCCCGCAGTTTCACAGTGCTTTAAACAGTGTGAATGCTGAGTGTCCACGGACTTCAATAGTGAAGCAAAGATTGCAGCGAAACGAGATGAGTCATTGGATAAATGCTGGGCTTTGTCCCACCCATCGAACGCTCAGCATCTCTGGGGCCTTCGGGGGCTGGGCCACTGGGGGGTCCTGTTAGGGGGGGCTGCGGCCCTTGCCCGGGAAGGACTTGGTGATTCTGGGGGATGGCTTCTGGTGGCTGTATGCGGACCCTCAGGTGGTCTGTAGCGGCGGCCATGGGTCACTGACCTGGTGACCTGGCTGTGCTGGGGTGAGTTCAGGGTGGGAGCGGAGGACCTGGGGTTCTGGGGTTGTGCCAACCCTGGGCTGTGGTTCTGGAGGGGTCGGGGGTCGGCATGTTGCCGGGGCTCTGGGCCGGTTTGCGCTCTGGTGCTCGACTCGGGGCTGGGGGCATTCAGTGCACTGGTGGGCTGCGGGTCTTGGGGGCTGGGGAGTTTGGGTTGGCTGGGAGCGGGGCCGATGGCCTGTGGGAGGGGGCAGGTTGACTCAGCCTGGGTCTCTAGTGTGCTATATGTTCTGAGAGTTGTCTGAATTTTGGGGTGGGTGTAGCATTTCTTCTGGAGTGGGGGCAGTGTAGATGGCCTTTGGTGGTGGCCCGGGGCTGTGCTGGGTCGGCTGGTTGGCTCCTTTGTTGTGGTGGGGGTTCTCTCTCGGTGGCCTCCTCGCACTGCTGGCAGCTGGGTGTGCACATTCAGCTGAATCTTCCTGGCTGGAGTTSGATGGCTTCCTTGGGTTGCGAGCTGGCTATGGAGCTGGGGCTCGGGTCTTGGGGGTCTGGACAGCTCTGGGGTGGGAGGACTGTTGGTTCTGGTTTCYGGCGCTCCTCTGGGCTCTGTTCGGCCATGGTCTAGGGCTCCCCGGGCCTGGTGGTCTGTCCGGAGGAAGAGGTATTGGGGCCTCACTCCCTGGGTGGGTCTTGGGGAACGGGGTTGCCTACCAGGGTCAGTGGGGAAGCTGACTCCCTGTGGGGGCATTTTGCTCCCCCAGTCATTTTTTCTCCCCATCCCTCACCACATACCAAAACCCTCTTCATTTTCAAATCCACTCATGTAGGGCTTTTGGGGTGCAGGTGCGTCACCAGAGCAACAATTTTATATCTCTGTTTGACATAAMCACCTGTGCCTCAATTTTACTGTACACCCTAGACGTTCACTTATAACATCCTCATGACATTTACAGATAGGGACTTGGGGGTGGGCACTTATCGCATGCAAGGGGCGGGATGGAATACTCCCACCACTGATGCCTGTGCCCATTTCCAATTGTTGCTTGTAGACATTTAGGGTTTTTGGGTTGGAGTTGGGGTGGAGGGAAAACTAGCAACATGCTGGCCTCTGCCCCTTCTTCTTCTTCCCCTTTTTAATTGCACTATAGAACAACACGCATCAACAGCACATCTGAGGGTGTGTGTGTGTGTGTGTGTTGGGGGGGGGGGTCTTTTTCACTCCCCCGTTCCCCGATTGCCATTAATGGATGGGGTCCAGAGGAGGGGCAAACCATCTTGTGGGAGCCTGGGCTGTGGGTGAGCTCGGGGCCTGGGGGGTTCCGGGGACATGGCTGGCACTCCGGCTTCCCTGTGGCCATTTGGATTCCCGGGGTGTGGCTCCTGGTTGCTGTGGTTGGTCCGCTGGCCAGGGTGGCTGCCGGAGTCCGGTGGGTGGTCAGTTGGGGTTGCGCACTTGGCCGTTGGCAGTGTGTGGGGGTGGTTGGGGGGCGTGGCTTCGCTGTGGCTGGGGAGCTGACCAGTCGGCCTGGTGTGGTCCGGGCCGGCCTTGGCTGCCTGCTCCTTTCCACCCCAGAATGAATCGGTCTACTTCCCGGGTCTGGATGTAGGCTGCCCTCCATCGGGGGAGGGTGCGTGTCCTAGACCTGGGGGGTATAGAGTGTGCATGGGAAGCATGATTGGAATATTGTGTCCATCTTGTGTGTCTTTAAATGAGTATGTGTGAGGATGAGGGTGGGATCATGTGATTGTGTCTGTGTATGATTGGATATTTGTCAGGCTGTGTCTTGGGTTGCAGCAAAGTTATAATTATTATGATGTACACGTTATTTGTTGCTATGTTTTTGTTTCCTCCATTTTTTCAGGTGTGCAGACAGATTGGTGTGTTATCTTGTGTTTTCTTGGTTTATCTTTCACATATATAATCTCTCTTTCAAGTTTTCCCATTACATTTCTCCTTTTTCTTCTCTTTCTTTTTCTTCTCTTTTATTTGAGGCATTCTGTGAGTCTGTCATCTGTTTTGCTCCTGCCTGGTCTCTCATTGGTCGTCAGTTCCACCGCAGCAACAGCAGATTTGGATCATCAGCTCTCAAGTGTTCATAAGGCTGTTCAGAAGAGCAGATCTTTGCTGATGCATCACCTGCTCTTGGGTAAAGCACCTCAGCCTTTTAGAGTTTCTCCTATCTGAGTTTCGCTAATCTCTGTTGCTTGTTTATTTACCTGTGCGCAGAGTGAAAAACCTCCTGAAGTAATCTTTGGACAGTCCTCCTTGTGAACCTGCCGAGATCTTACCTAAGAGCCACTCACCTGATCCCTCCTGTGCTGCTGCCTGTCTGCCTCTGACCAAACCTGGAACGTGATAACCTTCTTTTGGACTCACCTGTCAAGTACTCACCTCCTTACCTTGGACCTTCTCCTCCGAGCCGCTCCCTCCCTGCTACCTGTAAAAAGAACCTTTTAATCAATTGTTCTAATTCTAATCACATCTGTAATACAAGACCAAATACTCACCTTGTCCCCTCCTCCTTTCCAGCCCTGGATTTTCCCCTGGCACCTGTAAATAAAAACACTTACCTTTTGTATCCTGGTCTCCCGAGTCTGTTTGTTGCTGAGCTGCTCACCTTTGACTATTCAGAAAACCTGATATTATTTAAAAAAAAGTCACTGATGAAGAAGAAACTAACATTCAGTTCTGTTCTGTTTTCTACTGAAGTGGCTACAAAAAAAAAAAAATACTTCAACAGAGGCTACGCCTCCAGGAAGCAATCACTTCTCAAAGTCCAAAACCTCTGTACGAAGCAAAGCAAAGAAGAAGGGACTGGTTTTTACCAGGCTACCTTGATTGTAATCCAGTTTATGCTGCTCACTGATATTTTTCCCTATCTACCATATTTTTGATGACAAGCTTCTTCTGGTGTTCCATTAAGTTTCATAGTTGTAGTTGTTCATAGTTTGTAGTCCAAGTGCTTTGTATTTTTCCCAGTTTCTTCAGGTATCTTGCTTTCTTGGCTATGTCGGCATTGCGTTTAGTTAGATGATCGTTGATGAAGACGTCGGATCCTTTCAGTTTCCTGCCTTGCTTCAGCAGTGTGTTCTTGTGTTTTCTGCTGACAAATCTGACAATGATGGCCTTTTTGTCAGGGATATTTTTCATTAGCAAGATGTGGCATGCTTTAATGTGGGCACAGTCCAGGTCGATGTCCCTTGACTGCAGGAATGCAAGCCACCTGTTGCTCCGTGGAGCCGGCATTCTGCACCGCAGCCTCCCCTCCACTGTCCACTGCTGCGGTTTGCTGGAGCCCATTGATGATCACATCATTCATCCTGGTGTAGCTACTGCTCCAGTTTTGCTATCCAGTTCTCAGAGTTCATAATCTTTTTCTTCATCTCTGCATTTTGAATCTGGAGCAACTTCATTTCTTCCACAATATTCAAAATGTTGTTTCTGCTGGAGCTGAATGGTGGTAATTTCCACCGGAAGGATATCCAGCGATCTTCTAATGGCCTGTAGCTCCTCAGCTGCCACAGTCCTCTTTAGGCCCATTACAAGAAATCAGACTTTATAAATTAACAAACTGACAAACAGAAATTTTTGTAATTAATTTAGGCTAATTAATAAAAAACKAACAAAACATAGTCGACGTGTCATGAGAATTGACGTGGCAGGAAGTTGTGCTTCCTTTTCAACATCTCCTTTGTCACCTCTACCTCACTGATGAAAGAGTCGGATGTAATGCAACATGAGTAGGGCTGCAACTAACATTTTTTTAATAATCGATTAATCTGTTTATTTTTTCGATTAATCGATTTATTGGCCAAATCATTAAAACACTTAATTACATGAATATGACTAGGTATAAATTAAGTTACCTCCTTAAGGATGCAAGTTATTAATTATGAATTAATTTGAAGTTGGTTTATCTTATAGATTGATTAACAATTAATTAATAAGCAGCCATTTTTTAAAAAAAACAGAGTTTTCTCTTGAATCAAGAGGGTCTTCCCATAAAATGAAGGATTTTTTTATAATCTCCTGAATTAAAAAACAGAAGCACATAATACATATTTTAACAATTTCTTTTGCCAGCTGTATTAAATACTGACTGAAAAAATGTGTAT